ACTTTAGCATAGCTTTGAACGCTTAAAGCCAGAGAAGCGAGTAAGTGTTATAATAAATAGAACTTCAAACTGTAAAAATTAGTTTTACACCATTGGGTTTCCTGTTGTTTTTATTTTCGAACAGGTTGATAAAATAAGATGAAAACTTTAAAAATAGGATATTTAAATGGCTGAACTCATGCATAAATTGCAGTAAAATTAATTTGAAAGATCAGAATATCGTGTCACGACGAGTAACCGATTTTTCTCGTTTCTGAATCAATTTTTGTCTTTTTTCATTGCGGATCCTTGTCCAAAAATGGTTTATTAATGCCACACATCAAAATTTGAAAATAATGTCACACTTTGCTCACCTCGTACAATTTTTCGAGGCAATCATAAAGTTTTGGCAAAAAACTTCATTCTCGATACAGTACCTTACTTACCACTTCATGAACAAAAAAATTATCTGATTTATTCACAATTTTTTAACTTCGGTTATTCTGAATTTTCTTCTCAAAATATTGAAAAATTATGTCAGTAAGACACTTAAAACAGCGGGTTGCTCCCACAGTACAAAGAAGGCCAACAACGAACAAAAACGCTCTCAAAAACTCTTCGTATTTAAAACAAAACAGTCTATAAAGGCGCAACTCCCATTTAGCGCTTTCATTTTACGAAAGCTCGACATATCACTATTTTGAACACTAGAAGGATACGTGGTTGCTGTGACGTAAATCAGTGCTCTGATTTCAGTATAGGACTTTTTAAATTATTTTCCCTAAAATTTTTATTAACTGTTTTTGGAAGAAAACTGCAATTGATTATGATTAATTTGCTGACATTTTAAGCTCTCGTTTTTTTTTCTTATCACACCAAATTGATTCTGCTACTCTTGTGTCTGTTTGCTGTACGTTTCTTGATTCTGAAATACTTTGCTGTGGGCAAAGTAATTGTGTTACGTGAGCAAAAAAAAAACTAATTTTTAACCTAAAACAGTTTTACTTAAGATGGAAAAAATTAAAAATTATAATTATATTTGTTGTGAGTCAACTTTTTTTCTTTAATTTCAGCTTCTTTTTTTCGATTTCAGAGTTTGTTTCAGGATTGAATCTTAAAATATACCGTTCGATCTTCCAACTCAATTCCTGCCAACTCAATTCATCCAGACTCTCACTTTCTGCTTATCCATTTTCGATCCTATTTTTTGCCAACTCATTTGTTCCATCTCAATTGTTGTCATCAACTTAACCTCAAATGTTTGATCTCGATTCCTACCAACTGAAACAACTGAAGAAAATTATTTCATTCATTCTTTTCAATTTAACTATAACTTCAATAGCAATAGTTTCAAATTAGAAGAGATAAAAGATTAGAGCGAACCAAAATAGTTATTGATGATCTTGATGATCTTAATAATGATCTTAATAATGATCTTAATTATATAATAGGGGAGTAAAATCTTTGAATCCCATTTGGAGTGAAATCTATCAACCCCTATAAACCTCCCACCCCAATAAACTTTTTTTAACTCAACCTTATCTCATCTCAAATACTGATGGATGGAAATCAATTCATTTATTTTAAAATTTTCTCATCACATCTCAACTACTCTCAACCCACATACCCCAAAAGTTGGGACAGAAATCATAATAAAAATAAAAACTCAGTTTAAATTTATATGCGAGGAGATTATTGTGCTACTAGTTTAGCTGAACAGATCAAGCTAAATTTCCTTTAAAAAATGTTTTGACGTTTGAGCTCAGACACATACATCCTTGAACTTTAGAAATATCGATCCCTTACAAAAGGTCACAACAACGTAAATTCCGATTTAAATCTTGATAAAAACAATTATTCAGAATTCGTCAAAATTTATCTTTTAAATAGGCATTTGCGGTTTTGCCTGGGGATCTAACGAACAAAATACCTTGTACAGAATTTACATTTAACCAATTTTAAGCGTGTGATATAGCTTTCTTGATCTCAGTGTTAGTAGTAAGAACAATTGTTTGAATAAATACTTTTATGAAAACAAAAACTTTAGATCAAATTGAGTAAATATATTTATTATGTTTACACTTTTCGAATTACTGCTGACGGTAAACTTCATCTAGTTAAAGATAAAATTTCGAATGGTAACTTTGGGGTATGTGGGTTGAGAGTAGTTGAGAGGTGATGAGATTAAGATTCAATATGATTCAATATGAGATGTGATGAGATAAAATAGTTCGAATCATCTTGATGATCTTAATAATGTGTTATATAATAAGGGAGTAAAGTCTTTGAATCCCATTTAGATAGAAATCTATCAACCCCTATAAACCTCCCACCCCAATAAACTTTTTTAACTCAACCTTATCTCATCTCAAATACTGATGGATGGAAATCAATTCATTTATTTTAAAATTTTCTCATCACATCTCAACTACTCTCAACCCACATACCCCAAAAGTTGGGACAGAAATCATAATAAAAATAAAAACTCAGTTTAAATTTATATGTGAGGAGATTATTGTGCTACTAGTTTAGCTGAACAGATCAAGCTAAATTTCCTTAAAAAAATGTTTTGACGTTTGAGCTCAGACACATACATTCTTGAACTTTAGAAATATTGATCCCTCACAAAAGGTCACAACAACGTAAATTCCGATTTAAATCTTGATAAAAACAATTATTCAGGTTTCGTCAAAATTTATCTTTTAAATAGGCATTTGCGGTTTTGCCTGGGGATCTAACGAACAAAATACCTTGTACAGAATTTACATTTAACCAATTTTAAGCGTGTGATATAGCTTTCTTGATCTCAGTGTTAGTAGTAAGAACAATTGTTTGAATAAATACTTTTATGAAAATAAAAATTGTAGATCAAATTGAGAAAAAATATTTATTATGTTTACACTTTTCGAATTACTGCTGACGGTAAACTTCATCTGGTTAAAGATAAAATTTCGAACGGTAACTCGTCAAATTTTGAACCCGCTGCAATTTTTTGGGAAAACTGGACTAAAATAAAAAAAAAATCTGTTTATAATATTTAGTTATTGCATTAAGGTGCAAAACGAAGGAAAATTTTTTTGGAGGGTACTTACTCAATTTAAGTTTGTTGAAAATAACGGATCAATTGGGTAATCTCCCTCCCCCCTCTATTGAGCTATCTCCCCTCTAGCAAAAACGGTGCAACGCTACAAAAAGACGTCAGCAAACGCAATCAGTTAACTGTCTGAAGTTTATTTTATTTATGTATCGAGAAAAAAATTGAAAATGAAAGCAATTTTTTTTGCTATTTTTTGTTTGGGCGATCATTGCCTCATTGAGGAAAGTCACTTACCAAGATTGGTGCTCTAGCCTTGTATCTGAATATCAAAAACTGTTCTCCGCAGCACATTCAAAATAGCTTTTTTTCATCTAGGACAGAAAAAAAGTCGCATTATGTGCCTCAGTTTTGTTGGTTCTTTTTTCTCTTTGAATGTAATATTTGAGCCTTGATATTGTCAAAATTTGCGTTCCATTATCTTTATATAATGTAGTTTATGATTTCATATCATTCACTTTTGAAGTGGTTATAAATATGTCTCAAGTACCTAGATTGCTCAATTGATCCCCAAAAAACAAACAAGACTGCTCGTATCAGGGCGAAGCCCTGAATTTTCTGACTGCCCTCTAAGCTTTATGGAGCAGTAATAACATTTAAAAAAATAAATGAAGGAAAAAAAACGAAAAAAAAAATCTAAAGTTTGAAGTTTTTTCGAAAATCATCCCCCCACACGCCATATAAAGCACAAAAGGATAAATTTTGCACCTTGTAACAAATCAATTATGGCAAATGAGCTTCTTTCAACCAATTTGGAACGATTTCTAAGACGGATTAACTCTCCGCTTACGTGTTAATAGCGCAAAATACATCTTTCGTTTATTGTCCCAAATTGGCCAAAAAGGCAATATTTAAACCCCCGTAACTTTACGACAAATGATCACAGGTAAAATATCTTTTCAAATTGAGCTCAGGACAACAATACCTTTTGAATGATATACAAAACTTCCGTCAAAAATGGCTAGTTAAAAAGTCGAAATTTGTCTGAGAAAAAAAAACCCACCACGAGCAAAAATATTCCGTTACTTTCGTATCGAAAGTCGGAACAAGAAGATAGATTTCGTTCCTTGTAACAAATCAATTATGGCAAATAAGCTCCGTTCAACCAATTTGAAACTTTTTCTAGTGGACCGAGCTTTCCTTAAATTGTTTTTCCGAGCTCTCCATAAACTCATAAAAAAACTCAATCGCAGTAAAAAAAATTCAAAAATGTATCATAATTGAAGTGTTTAAGAACTTTTTGGAAATAGTTGTCCAAGAAATTGCGTCCTTTCTCAAAAATAGAATATTTTGACGCCAAAACAATCCAATGAGTGACGATGCTCGTCAAATTATTGGGCGGACATAGAATTTTTTTTAAAAAAAGTATTCCTTGTGTCAAAATCACACCACACTCAAGGATTGAGAACTGCAAATAGAGATTCTTATTTCATCCATTCAATGAATAGCGTTTGACGATTCTTCCTTAGCAATCATCGGTTGCAAGAACTTCGAACTCTTATTTTGTTTGCCATCGATGGTATTGCTGCTACATTATTCTCAGTGTAGTTATAAGACGTTGTGTTTTGTTCAACTAGAGCGAGCATCCACAATGGTAAAAGTGGATTTTTAAGCGCTGAAAAAACGTGAAAAAAAACGTGATCCATGTGACTATAAAGGGAGCCAGATGTTTGCTTGCAAAAAAACTTAAATGTTTCTCTATGCAGAAACTCAGTGGACCGAAACAGCCAATGTGTGTTTATTGGAAGATAAAATGAGTAATGGTGACGCCAAAAATTTTCTTTAAACTGTGTTACTACTAAGCTTGTTGGCTAACTTTTCGTCGGCTTATAGAAAATTTTCTCACTAGTTTTCATCAACTGTAACGTATTCGCCATTTCCTAATTTTGTAACTCGCTTGAAAAAAAATTAGGTTCAAAAATCTAAATATAAACATTTAAAATAAAACAAGAATGAACATTCACAATAGCATCATAACCTGCTAGTTACAACAAACAAAGGAATTTTTCCTTTTGGACGTTTGGCATGTTTCAGAAGCTTCAGTTTTGCAAACGACTGGTTAATTTTGCGACAGCTCATCCACTTTAACCACCATTTGTTTATTTATTACCAAAATAATTATTCAGTCGTTCATAAAAAAAATCAATAAAAAAGCGCTGGAAAGAATGACCAAAACATTGGATATTGGCTATTGGCTTATAAATTTCGATTCCTTCAATATTACACTTTGATTAAAACACAAAAAGTTTTTACAACTCGAGATACCAAAATTGCAGATTAACTCAAAATCTTTAAGTTTGACGAGCATAGCTTTTTATTAGACTAAACACAGTGTTCAGCTTTACTCCTCATCAGCATCATCATCCAGTAAAGGTATGTCCAAAAGTTTAATGAGAACCAATTTTAAAAGAACACTATAATGGTGTAATGGTGCTATATCCGGGTCTCTTTAACTATATCCCCCCCTCCGCGGGTACCTTATACCAAATATCTCCCCTATAAAGTAATAAATCAACGGTTAAGCATATGAAAGTTTATACCTAATAACGAATCTACCCTCCCCCTTTTGCAAAAGGGGGATATAGCTAAAAAGATCCCTAAGTCTTTTGGCAGAAATTTAACAGGTCATGAAAAATTTTAAGGTTTCATTTGCAGTTCATTTCCAATGAATGATACAAAGTAAACGTGCGTCAAAGTAGTTACTTTAAATTGACGTCATTTAAAACGAACTTTTCTGAAACTTATATAGTTAATGAAAATTGTAGGAAAAATCGGTGACCTGGGTGGCCAGTCAATAGGCAGAATGGCCTAAAAGCAGAATAGGTCCAAGGGCAAAAAAACAGAAAAACTTTAACCTTTATAAGCTAATCGGTAATTTATGTAAAAAATTGTCAATATTATTCAAGAAACGAACATTTTATGCATAATTTGAGTAGTTTAATTGAGATTTTTTCCAAAACAATAAAAAACGCGAATTATTCAAATTTTTCATTATCTGGACGATTCTAATAATTTTTTCACCAATTAGCCCGTATAAATCAATAAAAGTTAATATTTTTCTGTTTTCTTTTCTGCTCTTGAACCCATTTTGCTTTTAGACCATTTCTTCTTACTGCTCCCCATCCGGTGGCCTTGAACAATTTAATCGGTCAAATTTCAGCTTTTAGGTAAATTAGTTTTTTCGAAATCGTTTTTACGTGTGGAACTAAGAAAGAAAGTGGCGTCCCTCATGCTGGAGGGACCGAAAGCTTGAAATTTATTTTGGCTTATTTACAGCCAATCAGAATTGAGTATTCAAAAATCTCAGGAAAATCGCAAACATCCCAAAGTAATCAAACCAATCCAGGCCATTAGTTTTAAAAGTGACCGATTAGATAATTAGCAGATGAATAAAAATAATTGCGCATCGCAGGAGGATTGGAACAAATTTAAAATTTAAAAGATACCGATTGAGGAAAAATGCAAAAAACAAATAGCTAAGTTAATTATATCTGACCAATTATATCTGCATCTATTAAATTATATTATCTTTTTCTGTTAATATTGACTTCGATTAGTGCTAAAGGCATTTAGCCAACAAGAAAGCGTTATTGACTGGTTGAAATTTTTCGTTTAGATTCGTTAGACGAAAAGGACATTGCCAACATTTTGACATTAAATTAAAAAACGCATTGAAATTGACCATCGAATTGGTAGATAGAGGAGCCTGTTTCCAGTTGCACAGCCCTTTGTAAATTGACTTTAAAAAATTATTAAAAGGACTCGTATGATATTTGAATTTAACAAAAACTGCAAAAAATGATTCACTTGTTCAAGATTAACAGTTTTCTGATTCAAAACTGGAAATTTTTTCGAAAAACAAAAAATTTTCGAACCCCAAAATTTTTGCCATAAAAACTTCAATACAAACTTGAAATTTTTTCAAAAAAAAAAACAGTTTGCAAAAAATTTCAAATATTTTCAAAATGACCAAAATTTCAACTTTGAAAATCCCTGAAAACGGTAACAGAAGCAGAACGGTTAAAAAACAAATTTTTAATTTTGAGTTTAAGATATCAATGTCTTTTAGATTTTATAGAAAGTTTGATATAAGATTGTTATTAAAAACTGGAAAATTTTCCGGAAAAAAAACGATTCCGAGCTGCAAACATTTTTGCCATAAAATTCTTGTTGAAAATTGGAAATTTTTTCCAAAAAAAACATTCATTCAGAAGTTTTGTTGTAAAATAGTTATTAAAAACTAGTATTTTTTCCGAAAAAAAACGTTCCGAACTCTCTTGTTCACGTGCTGAGTTCGGAGTGTTTTTTTTTTCAGTGATCCAGTTTTTGATAACAATTTTGAGACAGCGAAAGTTTTTGTCTCTGTAGACTTTCAGCAAGTATCAAGTATATGTAACATAGAAACCCAATAAAGGCTCTTTAATGGCACAATTTTCTGCGCCGCTAAAAATGGATTTGATAAAAATGGTATTTTTGACAAAAATTGGTATTTTTTTTCGGCGCGCGCCACCCCTCAAAATGTCTTTAAAATACTAGAGGGGGACCTTTTGGGTGGTGGGTGGTTCGAATCCCCGAGAAAACATGCTTCCATATTCTCATAATCATGTAGAAGTAAACGTCGTCGGAGGCTTCTGCCCTAATTGCACACTAACCGACTTTTTTTTGTGTTTTTTTTTGTTGTACTATAACTTTTGTATAATTTTTTGAGGGAGCTGAAGAAACATCGATAGTGATGATCAAATAATGGACAGTTTGCTAGTCGAGCTTTTTGCGAATCGAGCGGTTTTTGTTTGAGTAAATTTTGATGTGCCACATCTGTTGACACAGTCGAGATCAGCATCAAGGTCTTTTTTGTTTAGACCAGAGCCGACGAAGTCACCATGCCTGCTGCGATCGGTACTTCAGCAAACAGAAAATACAAAACAACAGTTGTAAGTTGAGCATGAATTGATACACTTTCCAAAAACATAATCAAGCTTTGCTTTTGTAAAGTTTCAAAAATGTTATTTTACAGAGTTTTCAAGACAATGATGATTCCTTTGACAAGGTACACCAAAAATGATCACTACAAACCTTTTATCATGCGCTTACACCCAAGCATTTTTCATTTTAGCTTCGAAAACATATCACGCAACTGATCTTTTATTTTAGTTTGCTAGCAAATTTTTGTGAAATATTAAAAAGCGTGTTTTATTTGAACATAGAAATAAAAAACCGATGAATGAACTTTGTTTCAGGATATTCCCCCTCGCAGCAATAAATCTGCAGAATTGAGAAAACGACACATCGAAACATCTCCCCTTCCCTACAGTAGATCTTCAACCAGCCTCAACAACTTCTACTTCGACCCTAAGAGAGGCATTTGGTCAGAGTACCATGACAGTTTCCTGCCCGACCACTTGGGGGATTTGAAGTATGGGGGTTCGATGCCCCGTCTGAACAAAAGTGAGAGGGGTGCAGTGGGACGCAGTACCTCATCCGGGAGGTCTCCGGGGAATCGAAGTCTTTCGAGACATTCGTCAGGTGCATCTGTGTCCTCGCGCCCCTTTTATGGTTTGTGGAAAAAATCTTAAGATTTTCTAAAGTTTTGCCACAATGGTTCAGAATTGTTTTTAAGTATTTACTTAATAATATGTACTAAGGATCAGGGGCGGATCTAGGTTTTTCTCGAGGGGGTGGCGGATTTTCAAAAATTTTCGAAAACTTTGTCGACCTTTTTTTAGGTCGACCGAATTGATTTTTCGAGCTCTCCCAAAACACTAAAAAGTCCGTTTTGGCCTAATTTTCTGCGCCTAAATTTTTGGCCTAAATTTTGACCAAAAAATTGCATTTTTTCGGCGCGCGCTCCCACCTCAAAATTAAAATATATTGGCGCCGAAGGAGCCTTTAGAAAAGTTTTAGGCAAAAATGGATATCTCAAAATAGTACAAAGGGGGATCCTTTTGGTCGGCAGGCAGTCGCATCCCTGAGGAAAGAAATCCACCCCCCCCCCCGCGCCTAATCCGCCCCATGCTTATGATAACGGAGAATACTGTAACTGAATTTAAGGCTACCGATACTTTCATAAAACCTTCTGTAGCATCCGTTTTGTTTTAATCTAATTTATTGACAATCGCGTTCTCGTGTCTTATTTTTCATAGTTTGCCTATACTTATCATGTTTTAGCCGACTCTCCTCTGTCTCAAAACTCACCGGTGGTTAGTAAAAAGATTTTTTTAACACAGTAGTTTCGCTTAACTTATGCTAAGACTTAGTAGTTTCGCTAAAGGTCAACTTTCAGAAAGCAGTTGAACACAGTCCATCAGATTGGCTCGAAGGTCGACTGAAAGAACTACCATGTGTGGACATGGGCAAACAACTTCCCACTGTCAATTCAAAATACAATCACCCATCTTACAACAAACAGATCGGAAAACCACGAAGAGGCCGCTCATCGAATCCTCGATGTGCCCTGAACGCCCAATGTGCGCACAGTACGGGTGATTTAGTTCTTGTGACTCAAAGTGAAAACTTCGACGATGCACGGAATTTAAATTTAGCTCAGGACACTTTAAAACTGAATCGGAGTCCAATAAGGAGGAATGGGAACAGCGATGGCACGTTGAATACAGTCCACAGAGCCGAGTTGGAGCCAGAAGAGCGGGATCAAGAGTTTAATGATGGCGTGATTGACGAAGAAGAGTCGGAAAATGGTAGTGATGAGAGAGCAAACCAGGAAGAGGTCAACTGGTCACCGGTTCGAGATCATCGGCAAGAGGAACCCGGAAAGTCTTCGGAAACTGAATCCGAAGAGTTGTCTAGTCCTGAAGATGAACCTGACAATGACGGCAGCCAGAGGTTTGTCAATGATCAACCGCAATCCGCATCTGTCAACCCGAGTAGAAACGAACCAAGAGGCTTTCAAAAAAAGGGTGACGACAAACTGAGTGGCCTGAAAAAATCTGGTTAGTGTGAATAAAAATCAATTCCAATTTTCCGGTCCATGACTTCGGTTCTTTTTTTTATTTTGAATTGAATGGTGGCTTTTCGTTTGCAAAAACATTGGGTTAAAGCGAGATCTTTAATTTACCTTCAATTCTTTCAGACCATAACGTGACCAAAACTAACTGGTTTCGGGAATCTTTGTCAATAGCAGTTCTCAACTCTCTTGGTAAAAAAAGTCTTGATATATTGTCTTGAAATCATAGCTTCTTGTTACCATAGTGTTCACTGCATTTCACGATTTCGTCTGTATCTTTCGAATGAATAAGCGAGTCTATCTGATTTTTCTACTTCATTGATTTAAAAATGGAAAATTCCAGTCTTAATCGTTATTGGGATTGATTAAAAACATGGTAATTAGCCCGATATAATTTGAAGAGTTATCTAAAAACCGAAATTTCAAAGCTGCATGGAGGTTTATAAAATCGAAAAATTGAATTATTTGTCAGAAGTCGGAAACTTTTTATGAAATCAAAACTTCAAAAATTAAAACCATCAATAATTTCTAATGATTCAATGCTCTAATTCAGGGGCAGATTTGAGGGTGGGCCCGAGTGAGCTATTTCTCTAATGAATTCGACACAAATACCTCCAAATATTATTTGAAGAAATCTAATTTTGGCTGATCAAAGCTCAAGTTTTTCTACCAGCGCCAAGATTTGGTCGACCTAAAAAAAAGACTGAAAATCTTTTCTCCCCTGGAGAAATTCCTAGATCAGCCTTTGTTCTTACCTTTATTGAGTCCATGGTTTCTCTCAGCTGAAGCTTGGTCTAATTTTCTGGGATTCTTTTTCTGGTTTCTATTTTTCTCTCATTTACAGAAAGGGCCAAAAAGGCCAATAGCCACTACGTGCATCACTTCAATCGTACCCTGGAGACTGTAAATGTGAACTCAGCATATGTGCCCACCTGCGAGGTGATAGAACAGCAGGAAGTCACCTGTTTTATTTCTCCCCCCAACAGCAGTGTGGGCAGCTGTGGTCACGTGTCATCAGACTCGTGCCAAGGTAAGAGATCACGTGATGAAGATGAATCACGTGAGGAGGTCACACCTGATAGCACCATTATGAGTAGTTCATCAAAATAATTGTAATTTACCAATTTTAATGTTTTTATTGTAATTTTCAGGAATGGTTCTTTGAAGAAACAGCACTTACGAGTTAATTTTCTCTCCTTTTTGGATCTACTTAACAATCTTCCCCCCCCCCCCCCCCCCCCTATTGTGTCTACTAAAGAATCTGCCCCTTTCTTGAAAGGTGGGAGATTGTTAAGTAGATCCCTGGGGGTCTACTTAACAATCCTACCCTATTTTATCTACTAAAGAACTCCCCCCCCCCCCCCCTTTCTTGAAAGGGGGGGGGGGAGACTGTTAAGTAGATTCTCCTTTTTAATACAGTCACCAAAAGCACCCGTCTAAAATGCATTAAAATTACAGCATGGCTTTGGCTCTAGCTTCATTGAATCCCTCAAGCTCGTGAAAACTTATTGAAATCAGTCAGCCTTGATATATCACTAATATCTCGTCACGAAATTGCGTAATAAGTTTTTTGAAGTGTTTTTTAAATCCGTACCTTAAAAAGCTGCCTTTTTGCAACGTATAGAAATCACATGTGGATCTGTTTCACAGCTTCAACTGAAAAACATCTGCAATATTGTTTCCAATGTCACTTATTTTCAATCCATGCGTCAATCTTGCCACAGCCAAAAGCTATAAAACTCACCAGTTAAGACAAAATTTAGCAGTTTATTTTTCATCACCAATGAGAAACACATTCAATGTCAACTAATTCAATCCTAAAAGATAATCGCTACTGCGAGACTCGCTTCTGCTTAGTGAAAAATTTGTAATCAGGTAATTAAATCTTTTATTTGAGGGGTTAAAGTGTGCTGCGAGCTTCAAAAGTTCGACCACTTTATGAAATGTCTTTGCAGAGGTAAGAAAATGGGTCCCCTCCCCTCCCCAGTACGTTTTTCAGTACGTTCCTTCCCCTCCCCCTCCTTGCATCATAACTAAAATACTGATACTGTGGACCGATAGTGAGAGAGCTGTTTTTAAAATTAATACCTCCGAATTATTGTTTTGCCTGTACTTTCATCAAATTTGTAATCGAAAAAGATCAGACGAAACTTTCACAATTTGAGGGGACAAACAGAAAATACCCAGAATGTGAACAATGACAACGGTCTCAACTGAAAATTATCCATTCAGATCAAAATTGAGAATTTTCCCAAGTTAACTTGTATTAATGGTGTGTATTGCATTTGAAATTTAGCGAAGTCTGAAAAAAACACCCTGGTTAAGGAAATAAAATCTAATTAGAAAACAAATCTAATTGGAGTACTTTATCATTAAAGATCATAAAACGATTGATTTAATTAGGCAGAAAAACTATTTTTAGTTTTGGACGACATTAACAGTCAGAAAGCTGCGCTGAAGCCCACTTCTCAAAGACCGACAACCTTGGATCCCCAGACATCCACAGAAAGTCTTCGGCATCCTCAAGCGGAACCAGTGGAACCCAGAAAGCAACTGATGATAGATACCGGAGACCACTTGGCGCCGAGAGGTATTTTAGTTGAAACACTAAGGATGTAGCAAAGTTGGATGAAAAATAGCAAATGAATGCACACAAAATTACTATAATTTGCAATAACTGAAGAAAAATCAATATTAAAAACTTGAAAACAGTAATTAGAAAGAAATATGGAGAGCCGGTTGCTGTGCAACTAGCGCAAAATGTTTCGACCAAAATCACAAAAACTACAATTTTTTTCTTCAAATTAGTGTTGTTTTTATGCGTGGTGCGATGATGAGACAAATATAAAAACGCGTAAGATTTTGGTGTTTTATACGTAAAGGATGGCAGTTGTTTTTGAAAATGAACAACAAACGAAAATGTTTATATTTTTGATTCTTTAGAAACTTTTTATTGCCAAGGAAGCGATATAAAAATATTAAGAAAATTAAATGTGGAGTAGTCGAAATCGGACTGAAAAGGATACTTTTTGGGAAAATTTATTGATGAACTCAAGAGAGGAGTGATGGTTCCCCAGTCTCCGCGCTACTACCAATTAGATTTTTGATGAAAACACAGCAGCAGTTGAAAGCTTCATTTTGAATCGCCAAAATATGCCTTTTTAGAATTCCTGGACAAGAAAAATAAGATAGAGGGTTTATTGAAAGTGAAGAGTGAAGAGAAAATGGAAGGAGCCGGAGCAGAGAAACGAGAGGAAGAGAAGGAAAAGGGGGAGGACGATGAGAAGGATTGCGGCACCCCCGCTTTGAAATCACACAGGCCAAGACAGGAATGTAAGTTGTTTATAGTATGAATTACAAATATGTGGCTAAATGGAAATGGTTGAAAAACAAACTGAACACTGAAATCATTGATAATTTTTTCCATTGATAAGATAATCCGATAGTTGACTATAACTTAGAACAATCTTAAACATGGATATACTTTTGTTCAATTCGGTGTAAAAACTGTTGCTAGTTAAATTCTGACCAAAGATCAACTCTAATCAGTTTCGGGTGAAAATGAACGGAAGTATCGGAAACTCTGGAGTGTTAGATTTATCAATTGCATTCAAGGCATCGATTCGAGAAAAGAGATTTGAGTTAATTCTGATCAGAACTGCAAATTTAGATATAACCGATATTCCGACAGACTTCAACAATGGTTCCAAAAAACTGAACGTTCCAGAAAGTGATAAACCAATGATCGTAGCAGATACAGAAGCGGCGAAAGGCAAACCTCGTGAAGTGGAAACGGAAAATAGTTTCGAAAAAAGCGACGAGAAAGACCAAGACGAAGGTTAGTACCAATTTAATTATAATACAGATATTTTCGGACAATTCCATTTTTAAGGATCTAATTTAAAAAATGTACAAACACGCCAACAATTTGATAGCCTGGTAGACCATTGGACCTACAGGCCGTTCGCTGGTCCGCTGACAATTAAAGAAGATTTAATGTAAGTTGCCACAATGTCGAGGTTTAAAAAATCAGCTACATTTTTTCGACAACCCGGACATAAAAACTACTATCATGATTAAAAGCATTACTATAAAATTATAATAGTTCAGTTGTATTTGCAAAAAAACCCTTGCAATTACTAATAAATTTGCCAAATTATTTCAAACATTGAGATATAACTATATGCAAATCGAACTGAGTCGAGCAAATCTGAATTTGAAGTCTTTGGCGCAGCCTACCCGGTTCAATTTTTCCAATCTCGTAAGCTAAAGTTAAGGATCACCTGAAAAAAAAACGAAACACCAAAAATAGTGAAAAAATCTAGAACTTATTTCAACCCGGGTAGGCTTCAGCTTAGATTTTGAGTTTTTTGTCACTTATTGAAATAAATTAGAAGTCTCTGAACTCTCTTTCGAAGAGACATTGTTTGGACACATTGAGTGGAGGCTCGTCGTACTTGGCGAAGTTGCTGTCGTCTCCCGCGTGCTTGGTCTTCGGAACAAATGGAGGCTTCAGCTGAAAAAAAAACGAACCAATAAAATCTCTTATGATTCTGAGCATATTTCTGTTTTCGTCGTAGCCAAACAGGCCAAACTACTTTTGTCATAATAACTTTGGCCTCAATTTTCATCAGATTCGGCAAATCAATGTATGCAAAATTAACAACCTTTTTAAATATAGTTTTGCTCGCTTGCTATTTAAAATTAGTTCGGATATATAAATAATGTCAAAAACGATCAATAAGAGGGGCGTTGAAGCTGAAATGAGACTAGCCTTCTTCTGGTACATGGCAACATAGTCGACTGAGTTGAAGAACCTGTGGTTCTTGATGTCCAGGGACCCATTGCGTAACACCCCGAACCTCCGAGTGACGTCCACCTGCAGGATGTTCCTGATGAGGTCCTTCAGATCCGCCGAGAACCCACTGGGAAAGGTGTACTGCAGAAAAAATTATCGTACATTTGTTATCTAAACATTTTTTTTTGTTGCAGGTTTGTTTCGATTGAGGATTTCATAAAGGCGCACACAGTCACTTTTCGCACACAGTCAATTTTTTCGATATCTTGAGACCAAAGAGTTTGTGAAAAAGTCGGGAAAATGATAAAAGCTGACATTGTTCAGAAGTATTGAAAATATTTTTGAGACAAATCAAATTCGATAAAGTAGGTTTATTTTTGATATCTGGGTGTCTTTGTGTTACCTTTCCACCCACTATGAGTTCGTACATCTGTATGTGTTTGGGTGCTTCAAAGGGCGGTTTTCCAGCCGCCATCTCGTACATGAGAACCCCAAAAGACCACCAGTCCACACCCACTCCATAGCCCTTAAAAGAACAGCCACATATTTAGTGTAAAATTTGGGGAAGATCCCCCCTTAGTCCTTAGTTCTAACATATGACATCATCCATTTTCGGCCGGCCAGTCCTTAATTTAATCTAAAGCGTCCATACATCACTGCGCATTTGTGTCGTATACCAGTTAACTTAAGTCGGTTTGAAAAACTAGGGAGCAATTTGAACAAAGGGAGAGATCATAAAAGAATCAGTTTTAAAGTTTATACTCACTCTACTGAGGATAATTTCTGGAGCCAAGTATTCCGGAGTTCCACAGAGAGTCCAGGTGCGTCCAGATATCCTCTTGCAGAAGCCAAAGTCAGTCACTTTCACATACCCATGGTGGTCTATGAGGAGATTTTCTGGCTTCAAATCGCGGAAGATCAGGTTCATGAAGTGCAGGTACTCGAAGGCCATGAGAACCTGGGCGGCGTAAAACCGGGTTCTCACTTCTCTACACAACAAAAAATTCACTGAATCGGAGTTGTTTTTTTTTGCCATACAATTTTTTTTGTCTGAATTGAAGTGCGGTCTGTAAGAAGACAACCGCGTATTCATACTCGTCAGTAAAAGACAAACACTAAAATTAACCAATGAGAATCGAGACAAGGAAGCAAACGTACGAATTAAAAAACTTCTATTGCTTTGTTATCTGGATTCTGATTAGTTAATATAGTATTTGTCTACTTACTGACGAATATGAGTACGCTGTTGTTTACTTAATGCTACGTAACCTTCTGAATTGAAATTAATCTTAAGCTCTTCGAACCCAAATTTTCCCGATCGTCGTAGATGTGTGAACATTTCGCCACCGGAAACGAACTCAAGAGCAATGTAGAGATAGCTGTTATCCTAAAACCAAAAAACAAGCCTCAAAAATAAAAATCTTAAAAACAAAAGACAAGAGTTTGAAACATAATGGATTGTTCAATGGGGCATTTTTAATACAATAAGGGTCATTTTACAAGGATCGAAGCATGTTGAGTTAAAAAAAAACTCTCACCTCAATATTACTTCAGGTATTTTTAATAATAATAAGTGTGTTTTCTGCTATTGGTAGAGAATCTTTGAAAAGCTATCCAGCCTGTTCAAGCATAGACCGTGGTAGCCCTAAAGTTGGAGGTCAAGTGAGCGGTAGTCCTAACACACTTTCATTGCCATGGCACGGGATCGATCACACGATCTGACGATCTGAACGTGAACTTCCTACCACTATGTTAAGTGCCTCTTGCGACCAAAATATCGAATGCGGTACATGACATCGAAGGTTCAGTGGACATTTATAGACTTCTCTAAGTGCATGTGCAAAAATCGGCGGTGAACGTAGTTTGATGGAACTAGCCTTGAAAGCGAATGCCTGTCGCACTATGAAAGGAAACTGAATACAAGCTAGAATCTTTTTCTCCATTATCGTGTGGTCAATTTGCTTCAACTTCACAATCTAAAAAAAAAAACATTTTTTTTCTTCAAACTTTAAGGATTTTAGGATATTTGAATTTTTCGCCGAGTTGGGTGCCGCTAAACTTTCATAACTTATATTTGATCAAAACTATGTTAAAGCTAGGAAAACTGGGTGAAATTTGCTTTACCTTCTGTTTGTCGAGCAGTTTGATGGCGTAAAACTTGTCACTCTTAGAGGGCTTGTACTTTGCTAGCATCACTCTGCCGAAAGAACCGGTTCCCAGGGTCCGTTTCACATCAAACTCCGATAACTTCGCATTTCCCTACATGATAAAAGCCGTTAAAATTTTTACGAACCAAGGCTTTCTTGAGAGATTTAGATTAAAATAAAGATTCATATTACTTTGGGTGTTCTGATCCATTTTTTCTCAAACTCCTCTTTGGCTTTCCTCAAATACTGAATCCCTGAAACAAAGTTTAAACTAATTATTTCATCTGTGGACGTCTGGAACACTGAAATGGCCATGAAATTTGGAAACAGTTTCACCAGCTTTCACGCAGATTGGAAAAAAAATGTTGAAAAAAGTTAATCGTGAAACTTACATCTTTTGTTCGCCTCTCCCCTCGAGATGGCCTTTGGGTCTTTGTGCCCGCCTCCCCGCACCCTGCCTCTGAATTCAGGTGCCCATCAAATTAACTTAACTTCAATTGAATGCTAGATATCATTTCGACTGTGTTAATTTTTTTTTTGCATTTTTGACTACATTTGGATCCACATTTATCAACCAATTGTTTTGTTTTTTATATAACTCTAAATTTTTTTTTTCAAATTTGGCGAATATATATAAAAAAATCGTTAATTCTTTTCTAATAAACAGTTTTAAAAAGAGCCATTGAAAATCTTACCTATTAGGGGACCCCTTCGGGGACCCCTTCGGAGACCGGCCTCGACCCTGGGGAGACTTCCCGCCTCTGTTCGGGGAGGACTTGTTTCCGCCTTTGGGCGAACCTCTCTGGGGACTCCTAGGCGACTTATTGCGGTTGTTCGGTGATTTACCTCGAGGTGATTTATTTCGTGGGGATTTATTTCTGGGCGAGTTACCCCTGGGCGATTTTCGGCCAGGTGACTTTTTGTTGGGTGATTTTCCCCTACGCACATTTAGGTTGATTTTTCGGGGACTTTTAGGGGCCTTATTTTTATTTTTTGGCGACCTTTCACTGCGAAATTTTCCTTTCAAAGATTTTTCTCCCGGAGATTTTCCCCTTGGAGAATTTCGCTTCGGCGATTTGCCTTCAGGGGATTTCGCTCTCGGCGATTTTCCCTTAGGAGATTTTCTCCTTGGCGACTTTGCCTTAGGAGAATTTCTCCGTGGCGACTTTGCCTTAGAAGAATTTGTCCTTGGCGACCTTCCCTTATGAGAATTTCGACTAGGGCTCAGGGGTTTTCTTTTTGGAGATTTTTCCTGAGTTATATTGTTTTGCGGGTTTTTATTTTTGCGTATATTAGAGTTTGGTGATTTCTGGTCGCCTTTTTTCCTCGTAGCATTTGCTTTTGCAGACACATTTCTAGGAGGACTTTTGTTTGCCTTACTTCCCTTGCTTAAAATTAACTCGGCTCTTTTCCAGGCTTCTGCTCTTTTCAATAAGAAATTGTTTATTAAAACTTTGTTTTATTGTTTAAAAACGCCTTTAAAACCTTCATTTAAAAAACGTAAAATTTTTTGTCGTTTAATAAAACAAAGTGATCGAAAGTATAAGTCACAATTCACGAAGCGCAAAACTGGATAAGAGCCAAAGTTTGAATATATGGACTTTTTTTGTCCTAGTCTGTAAACATGCCAACAATCTATCTAGCAAATACTAATTGAGCATTTAAGCTGCCTAAGAAATCACTCAAAGTACATATTTAAACCTGAGCCCCTGAATTTAAATTTTGAGGAACTGGAAACAACTAAAACGAATTGGGTTTGGCTTGGCTCATAGCATCAATTTCTCATGACGAAAAAATCAACTAGGCACAATTATGTTTAAAGGGCACAGAATTGACAAAAAAATATATATTTTTTATTCGAACGCAGTTGATCGCATACCTCAAATGTTAGATTTTTTTTTCACTGGGTTCAGCTAAAATAACCATCAATAAGGTATTGGGACATCTCTTCTATCTACTTCTACAAAGAAAAACAAAAAAAAAGAATTGGAAGCGATAATAGGACTTAATCTTTTCGAATATCCCAAATTTCAACGGCTCTTTTCCTTTTTTAATCTCTAGTTAAAATTGGTTTAAATGTTCGATTTAAATTGGCTCTTTTCCAGTCCACTTCGTCAGTCTCTGAAGCACTTCTTTTTCATTACTTTTGAATTCATTACATGATTGGGCGAATGACATGACGCTATAACTACCCGCTCTGGAGTTCAATGAGAAATAATAGATTATAATGAATTATAAAATGAAAGAAAAATCCATTATAATGGTTTATAATTACACTTTTAGGTGGACACTTTTGCAATAAAACGTAGCCTTCTTTTATTGAAAAAGCAATCGTTTCATAACACAAGCTCCGCTAATAGGTTAACAAGAAGAACCAAAAAATAATAATTGAAAAAGAAAAAATAAATGAACGAAGTCAAAAGACAAACAGAATTGCTAAAACTTCACCAAATAGTACAATGAGATGTCACCATTTCAAGCTTGAGCCATGAGAACCCTTCAACACACCGAATATTTTGAAGAAACAAAAACAAATGTTAGTTTTGCGGTATACAATAGCAATTTTTTTTTTCAAAAAAAAAAACAATTTAAGAAGACGAACATTTAAAAGCCTTCATAAATTAAAAAGCGAGACAACTTTATTGACTGTAAGAAAAATCAAAAAACAAAACAAAGGTAGAACAAAACGAGTACGGTTAAGGGTCGTTTCCGTTACAACCGCGTTCAAATCTTTAGCCCAACAAGGGTAAAATCTCAGTGTGATTGCTAAAGTGACTCTTCTTCCTTCCCCCACCTACCACTTTTTACAAGCATATGAACATGACTTTTTTGTTCCGACCATTGAAAATGGGGAGGAACTTTGGATTCGGGTGTGTTTTAGTTTTTTTTGTTTTCGACACAAAATCAGCTACCACAAATAATCATCAAACAAGGTTGAGTGATATATCATGTTAAAGCCTTTTCAGTCGTGATTCGAACGTCATTAAAAATTTTGCTTTTTGCTCTAATTTTTGATTTTGGTTCTAATTTCGCACTATTTAGTGAGACATTTATTAATTGCAATAGCTTATTTAAGCTTAATTTAAGCCGTGAAAACTTAGTTTTACTCTGATAAAGGTAGTTTTTGGAGTTTTTTAGCGCAATTTTGGGAATCAAAAACTTGAAAATTCAAAAGTTTTCGGCAAAAAAATTTGGAAAAATGTTTGAATTTTTTTTCTAAATTTTTTGTTTGTTTTTTTTTGTCATTTTTCTTCAAAAACTGTTTTCCAATTCAATTATTTTACTATTGCCCGGGTTGACAAAAAATGCTTATTTTACAATTCGATACTATGGAAAAAATGCTTATCATACGATTCCATTCAATTCCATAGAATAAAAAAAATCGTATGAAAATTACATGATAACCATTTTTTCCATACAATGGAATTGTATGATAGCCATTTTTTCGATTAAGTGGAATTGTATGATAGATGTTTTTGCCTTAAACCAAAAAGTTGTTTTTTTGTTTCTAATTTTATTTTCTGAAACAATTTGAGTTCTGTTTGCAACCGAACCCAAGTGACAAAGACCTTGGTTACTCAAAGTACTAAAAGCTGGACGGTCTTGCTTTTACAATGCATAGAAAACGACCTGAATTGTCTTCGGGCTGTCTTTCACAAATGATATAACAAAAGTAACAAACTCATTAATGTAAAAAAGCCAATATTATTAAGGATTACGTTATGCACACAAAAAATTAAATTTTGCATGCAAATTTTTTTTTTTCGGAAAGTGTTTGTTTGCGTAGAAAATTCGATTTGCGGTTGAAAAAAAATTTGGGGCAAATTTTCAAAATTACTTGTGTCGCGGCTAAAATTTTGTTTATCGAAAAAATGTTTATCACACCATTTTCATAGAATGGAAATCGTATGATAAACATTTTTTGTCAAAAAAATGGAAAAAAATGTGCCAACTTGATCTAACTCAATCAGAAAACGAACGAAGCTCATTTAAACTTACAAAAAAATTCTTTTTAAAGGTTTTGCTGAAAAAAAATCAATGAAAAAATGCTTATCATACAATTTTCATAACCAAAAATCCGTTAGGATAATTAATTTTTCCATAGAATCCATGCATGGAATTGTATGATAAGACATTTTTTGTATTGAATTGTATGATAAGCGTTTTTTCTATGGAGGTCAACCCGGGTACTCTCAAAAATGCCTAAGTTCTATTTTTCTTGTTCAGAACATGCAGAAAAAAAACGAAACCAATTTGAGAAAACATTTTTGTATTTTTAAAGACTGTGGTCGGAACATTCTGTGCTACTTGCGCAGTAACCGGTAATCCTTGTTTACATTGTCCGAGTATTGTAAAAAGTGGCATGATGATAATCATTTTTGTCTTCAAATCCCAGCTTGAGAAATGATTCGTTACACCACGAAATTCATTCTGAATCGAGATGGATAGAGGGAAAGAAAAAGAACCGCCTTACGAAATAAACCACTCTAGTTGTTACAAGGCTGTTAGGCTATAATAGGAATACTCAGGCCAGTTTTGTCTGGACACTAAAGAGACATTAAAAAAAATACAATTCAAACTTCGACAAAACAAGGTTTTAATCTCATACCATACTTCAGCCCTTTGAGTTTTGTTTCACGTCCCTAAAATAAGTACCGAAAAAATACACGAATGTCATAATTTCTTCACGCCCTTTTGAGGAGTGGTCAGATCAAAACAAAAAAAAAAGAGAACGAAAAACGCTGCCTATTGGAACCAGTTCTGAACTAGTATTTATAAAGCAATTTTATTATTGATCAAACTATCACTATAAAATAATACTAACTAACCAATCATATTCCATCTCTAAAATTGACACTTATTTGTAAGTGCTGAAACTACTTGTAGTTTCAGCACCAGAACAAGTTGAATAAGTCTTTGAATACAGTTGTTCTCCTTCTGGGTAAACTCCGAGAACTATTTCGCGAAAACCAGTATACACTAGATCTACTGAGACTAGGAGATATAAGAGTAAGATTAAGATTGGTATTAGACTAATCTTAGACTAATTCCGGCCGAAAATAAGATATCGTGACGAACAGACGGTGTA